GGGCAAGTAACAGGTGTGGGCAATATAGAAATCACACCTGAAAGCAGATAAAAAGGAGAGACGTTCACTTAACCTTTGCATTGTGTGTCTGTCTGTGCCACACTAAGCATGGACAACAGAAAGAGGAGACGAGAACTGTCTGAGGACCTGAGAACCAAAATTGTGGCAAAATATCAACAATCTCAAGGTTACAAGTCCATCTCCAGAGAACTAGATTTGCCTTTGTCCACAGTGCGCAACTTATCAAGAAGTTTGCAACCCATGGCACTGTAGCTAATCTCCCTGGTCGTGGACGGATGAGGAAAATTGATGAAAGATTGCAACGCAGAATAGTCCCGGATGGTGGATAAGCAGCCCCAAACATGTTCCAAAGACATTCAAGCTGTCCTGCAGGCTCAGGGAGCATCAGTGTCAGCGCGAACTATCCGTCGACATTTAAATGAAATGAAACGCTATGGCAGGAGACCCAGGAGGACCCCACTGCTGACACAGAGACATAAAAAAGCAAGACTACAGTTTGCCAAAATGTACTTGAGTAAGCCAAAAGCCTTCTGGGAAAACGTCTTGTGGACAGATGAGACCAAGATAGAGCTTTTTCGGTAAAGCACATCATCATTCTACTGTTTACCGAAAACGGAATGAGGCCTACAAAGAACAAAACACAGTACCTACGGTAAAATATGGTGGAGGTTCAATGATGTTTTGGGGTTGTTTTTGCTGCCTCTGGCACTGGGTGCCTTGACTGTGTGCAAGGCATCATGAAATCTGAGGATTACCAAAGGATTTTGGGTCGCACTGTAGGGCCCAGTGTCAGAAAGCTGGGTTTTTGCGTCCAAGATCCTGGGTCTTCCAGCAGGACAATGACCCCAAACATACGTCAAAAAGCACTCAGAAATGGATGGCAAAGAAGCGCTGGAGAGTTCTGAAGTGGCCAGCAATGAGCCCAGATCTAAATCCCATTGAACACCTGTGGAGAGATCTTAAAATTGCTGTTGGGAAAAGGTGTCCTTCCAATAAGAGAGACCTGGAGCTGTTTGCAAAGGAAGAGTGGTCCAAAATTCGGGTGAGAGGTGTCAGAAGCTTATTGATGGTTATAGGAAGCGACTGATTTCAGTTATGTTTTCCAAAGGGTGTGCAACCAAATATTAAGTTAAGGGTGCCAATACTTTTGTCCAGCCATTTTTGGGGTTTTGTGTGACATTATGTCATATTTGCTTTTCTGCCTCTGTTTTATATTTGTTCCAATACATACAAAGGGAATAAACATGTGTATAGCAAAACATGTGTTAATGCAATACCTTTTTTGTGTGAAATACTTGATTTTCAGGAAAAATATCAAGGGTGCCAACAATTTCGGCCATGACTGTATATAATTTGGATAGAGTGGAGAAGTATAGAACTTCTGCCAAGTGTAATCCTCCCAGCTTCCCTATTGGAGAATCTTTCCAACTTTCTGTCCCAGCAACAAGCATTCACAGGGATAGAGCGTAATAGGAAAAGACCAATGGGGTAAGACAGCACCCCCCATTCTAAGCCTTTTCCATCTAAACCTGTAAAGGGAACCCTTATACTTGCCTTCTCGAAGCTGGCCCAGTCCTGTGATCTGCTGTCAGCTTCTGTGTAGAGCAGAGGCAGCGAACAATGGAAGCCCCATGCTAAGTCTATGGGTGACATCATCTCCCAGGCATTTCCAGCCATTGTCTGCTTTGATTTCAGGTACTTGTATAGCGCTGTCAATTTACACAGCATTTTACATATATATTGTACATTCATATCAGCCCCGAACCCTCAAGGGGCGTACAATCTAAGGTAGCGTTCTCGCTACGCACAGAAGCTGCCACTGGAGAGCGGACCGAAGATGTTTCAGAAAAGCTCTTTTACTTACATGGTTAGACTAGGGTGGGAGTAGGTTTAGCCTGAGTTAGCTATTGACTGGAATCCCACTTAGAAGTTCTAACTCTTCCCCTCTGTATTGAAAATAAAGGGCTCACAGGTTAGGTTGGGAGGTGGTATCCTGCAGTTGACCTGTGCATTTACCGCCCCCTACTGCTACCCTATTTATCTGCAGAAGGTGTGCACAGGCCGTGGGTGCGGCTAGATTTGTACCCCCCTTTGCTTCAAGTGAATTTGGCCGCTCTGCAACTACATGCAATGCATGTGGTTGCAGAGTGCTAGTATGGGAATCAACGGGTTAAAGCGGGCAATGAGGAGGCGATACAACATCTCTACTCGCTGTCAAATACTCTTGGAAAAGTGGTTTGATTGTGAATTGCTCTTCAGAGAGAAGCGCTAGTGTGTACAAGCCTTAGGCAGGCCATAGACGGATCTTTTATCGGCCAAATTTTCGGCTGATAAGCAAAAAATAGGTTGGTGCCGTTGCCGATGCTGCCACCATCGTCCACGAAAAACAGCCAGTTTTTCGTGGATTTTCCAGCATGACCAATAAAAGTAAACGAGACAATCCATGAAAAACGGGTCCCGCTAACGGCGTGAATATCGGCCGATTTTTTCGTGCGGATGAAAAATCGGCTGATAAACCACCCGTCTATGGCCTGCATTAGAAGTCTTGGCTGGCACATTGTTTTATTCTGCTGCTATTCTGCACTCCCTGGTTCCTCCTCTTTAACCCCCCCCAACGTGCCAGTTCCGTGAACCTCTTTCTGTTATCGTAATATACCGTGTTCTAGACCCAGTGATGTGAAGACTGGGTCTCTGCGCACCCTGACCTCCATACTCTAAGGCTAGGTTCACACATATACAGTTTGTTAGGTCCATTTTTGCTGCTTTTTTTTTTTTTTTTTTTTTTTTTTTTGCTAGGCAGATCAAAACGCAAATACGCACTACATGTTTTTCTGCAGTGTTTCCATTGAAGTCTAGAACCAAAAATGCAACTTTTTGTGTTCAAAAAAAGTCCCTGACCCTTTCCAAAAAACGCATTGGGTGAGATGTGACCGCGTCCAATAGGAAATCATGTTAAATGCAAAGTAATGCGTTTCTGTGAAAAAAAAAAAAAAAAAAAAGCTGTGAAAATGTTTGGGTGTGAATCTAGCCCAAAAGAGGAGCTCCAGTCAACCCCCCCCCCCCCCCCCCCCCCCCCCCCAAAAAAAAAAAAGTAAAAGTCAGCAGCTACTACACATACTGTACTTTCAATAATAGGATATTTATCTGTCAGTGTCAGATTGCCCCTTGTGCTATCACAGTCCCACTATAAGTCGCTGATCACTGCCATTACTAGCATTAAAAAAAAACACAAACAAAAAAATCCAGTATATACTGGTACACACCACTATTTGTAGATGTTGTAACTTTCACACAAACCAATTAATATACACTTTGGGTATTTGTTGTTTTTTTTTTACTAAAGACGTAGTAGAATACATTTTGGTTTAAATGCATGAAAAAATTTATTCTTTAATTTTTTTATTGGACATGTTTTATAGCAGAAAGTAAAAAATATAGTGTGTGTTTTTTTTTCAAAATTTTTTTACATATAAAAAAAACAAACAAAAACAGTGGTGGGTAAATGCAAGAGTTTAAACATACATTAAAAAAAAAAAAAAAAAACGCACCCAACCAACATATACAGTTGTGTTCAAAATAATAGCAGTGTGTTGAAAAAAAAAGTGAATAAAGCTCAAAATCCTTCTAATAGCTTTTATTTCCATCCACACAAATGCATTGGGAACACGACACATTCTATTCCAAATCAAATCATGAAGAAAAATAGATCAAATTTGTGTTGTTCCTCTAAAAAAATGGAAGAAAAGTGAATATTAGACGGTTCAAAAAAATCGCAGTGTTTGTATTCTTCTTTACAAACTCAAACATTCACTATATAAACTGAAAAATGTTTGAAGATTTTGCTTTCCTTTGAATGACTTCATGAATATTTAGTTGTAGTCGCACTGTTTCTGAGAACTGCTGTACATCTGTGTTGCATGGAGTCACCCAACTTCTGGCCCCTGTGATCAGGTATTCCAGCCCAGGATGATTGGACGACATTCCACAGTTCTTCTCTATTTCTTGGTTTTGCCTCAGAAACGGCATTTTTGATGTCACCCCACAAGTTTTCTATTGGATTAAGATCCGGGGATTGGGCTGGCCACTCCATAACGTCAATCTTGTTGGTCTGGAACCAAAATGTTGCACGTTTACTGGTGTGTTTGGGGTTGTTGTCTTGTTGGAACACCCATTTCAAGGGCATTTCCTCTTCAGCATAAGGCAGCATGACCTCTTCAAGTATTCTGATGTATTCAAACTGATCCATGATCCCTGGTATGCGATAAATAGGCCCAACACCGTAGTATGAGAAACATCCCCATATCATGATGCTTGCACCACCATGCTTCACTGTCTTCACAGTGTACTGTGGCTTGAATTCAGTGTTTGGGGGTCGTCTGACAAACTGTGTCTCCGCCCACTAGACCCAAAAAGAACAATCTTACTTTCATCAGTCCACAAAATGTTGCGCCATTTCTCTTTAGGCCAGTCAATGTGCTCTTTGGCAAATTGTAACCTCTTCAGCACGTCTTTTTTTCAACAGTGGGACTTTGCGGGGGCTTCTTGCAGATAGCTTGGCTTCACATAGGCGTCTTCTAATTGTAACAGTCCTCACAGGGAACTTTACACCTTCTTTCATCTTCCTGGAGCTGGTTGTTGGCTGAGTCCGCGCCATTTTGGCTATTTTTCTATCCATTCCAATGGTAGTTTTTCGCTTTCTTCCACAACTTTCAGGTTTTGGTTGTCATTTTAAAGCATTTGCGATCATTTTAGCTGAGCAGCCGATCATTTTCTGCACTTCTTTATATGTTTTCCCCTCTCCAATCAACTTTTTAACCACCTCCCGCTCGCCATATAGTCCAATGACGGGCGCAAGGTGGTCCCCTAGTTCTGGGAGGACGTCATATGACTTCCTCCCATTCTTACCGCACATGCGCGGCTCAGGAGAGCGCGTGGCGATCGGTGGTGCGCTGTGTCCCTCAAACACAGCGGATCACCGATCTACGGAAAGAGCCCAAGATGTCGGCTCGGTCATGTGATCAGCTATGTCCAATCACAGCTGATCACATGTAAACGGAAATGCTGGTTATCAGCATTTCTCTCCCCACGAGCTGTCACGCTGACCGCTCGAGAGGAGAGCCGGTAATCGGCATTCCACGGAGGGAACATGTACACTGATCAGGGCACTGATGATCAGTGTGGCCTCAGAAGTGCCACCTGTCAGTGTCCGTCAGTGCTGATCAGTGCCACATCAATGCCACATATCAGTGCCCATCTGAGCTGCCTTTCAGTGTCACCCATCAGTGCTAGTCAGTGCCATATATCAGTGCTGCTTTTCAGTGCCCATCAGTGATGCCCATCAGTGCCACCTATCAGTGTCCATCACTGCAGCCTCATTAGCGCACATCAGTGAAGGAGAAAAATCACTTATTTACAAAATTTTACAACAAAAACTAAGAAAAAACTTTTTTTAAAAAAAAAATTTCAGTGGTTTTTGGTTTGTTTAAGAAAAATTAAAAAACCCAGAGGTGATTAAATACCATCAAAATAAAGCTCTATCTGTCACCGCGCAATTGTCATTCAAAGTGTGACAGCGCTGAGAGCTGGAAATTGGCCTGGGCAGGAAGGGGGTATATGTGCCATGTAGGCAAGCGGTTAATCAAGGTACGCTGTTCTTCTGAACAATGTCTGGAACGACCCATTTTCCTCAGAATTTCAGAGAGAAATGCACTGTAACCAGCATGTACAACATTTGCTGCCTTCCTTCCTTAAATAAGGGCAATAATTGCCACCTGTTTTTCAAAGAATGAATGACCTCACTAATAGAACTCCACACTGCTATTATTTTGAACATGCCCCTTTCAATGAGTGATTCAATTACACAGAATCAGTAGCATGCATGTCATGACTGTTGGGTCTGTTGGATTTTTATTACTCTACTACACCTGCTAGTAAATTATTTGCCATGTAGAAATATCATTTCTACCAAAAACAGTGATTGATCCGGTAAGTGATGTCTGACTGCTACTATTTTGAACACAACTGTACATATATATATATATATATAAATATATATGTATATATATATATATATATATATATATGTATATATATATATATATATATATATATATATATATATATATATATATATATATGGAGCAGGGCCCTCCTAACGCTTTTGTATTGAACTGTTGGCGCTATATAAATCCTGTATTATAATAATAATAATTATATATATATAATGCATTTTTTCAATATTTTCAGTCTTTTTTGATTTATACAATAAAAAAAAAATTAAAAAAACAGTAGTGATTAAAGACCACTAAAAGAAAGCTATATTTGTGTGAAAAAAAAATATAAATTTAATTTGGGTACAGAGTTAAGAGAAAACACGAGGCACACTGTCCTCGTGCATTACCATGGTATAGATTTTTTTTTTATTAGAAAATAATTAACATGCATACTCACAAAAGGACCATAAAATCAGACATGGAGCCAAATCTTTCAGTCCCAGACAACAGGGGTCCTGTGAAACAACTACCCGTTTGAAATAGCTGATGCGTCTCGGGAGACGCACTCTCTTCCTCAGAGCTAAGAACCGGACATGCTAATGCCCCATATATAGGGGAGACCATGTGGAGGACATCACACCACACCCCCTCCGTAAGGAGATAACTAAGGTGGAGCCAACCAAGGATCGATGTATATGTCAGACTGCATTTTCTTACAACATGTATACTGCTTATGGAGTGTCATTTACACTCTTCATCCAGGCACTTCACCAGCTGTAGGGCGTAGTTGTTGGGTGGCCCTTGGTTGGCTCTGTCTTAGTTATCTCCATACGGAGGGGGTATAGTGATGTTCTCCCTGCCCGTAGTCTTCTGGGACACATGACAGGTCCCAGAAGACTACGGGGCCATTCCCAAAGCACATGCACAGTGGGCACCCGGCTGTGAAGCTGCAAGCTGTCACAGCCAGGTGTCCACACTGAAGATGCCGGCACCAGGCAGAGAAGACGGCCGGTGAAACCAGCCATGGGGAGGGCACTGCTGGATCGTGGGACAGGTAAGTGGCTGTATTTTAAAAGTCAGCAGTTACAGTTTTTGTAGCTGTTGACCTTTTTTTTTTTCTTTCAGGAACTCCGCTTTAAGTGGTTAATAGACAAGCAGGTGATGGAGTCAGATCTGCCTCTTAATGGCTGAGACATTGTTCCCCCATTATATACATTTGGTAAAAGAGCTAATAGACAAAATAAAGAATCCCATTTGCAGTATAGGCTACAGCCATTTGCTATAACCTATACTACCATACACGGCTAAAATGAATACTATACATCATACGAATAAAGAGGAAACGGGGATCTTACGTATACTTTTTATGGGTTACAGTTTGCATAAGTGAAGAGTTCTTGAGGCCCCTTTCATGTGATGGGGCCGATCCGGTCTGCCTGTCAGTTTTTTCAGATGGACCTGTTTGGATGGTCCATTCACCCCTATGGATAGGCGGGTGTAAATTGGTCCGCTAAAAAGAAACAGAAGGGTGTTTGTCCGCTTCCATTTTGGCAGATTGGATGGGAGGGCAGTTGGGTGTAAACGAAGCAAAGTCAGTTTACACCCGGTTGCCCATAGAGCAGAGCGGACTGTGTCCATGTCCACCCTGCATAAACAGAGGAGACAGGGATATGTCATCCACCCATCTGCTCATTAACAGATCATGTCTTAAGGCACGTGTCAAACACAAGGCCTGCGGGCCAAATCTGACCCACTAGGCCATTGAATGTGGCACTCACACCTCTCCTGTAGCCACGGCACCCTACCTTGTCTCCGCCTCCACCTTGTCTCAGCAGTCACAGCAGAGAGAACGACAGAACTCCTCCTACAGATCCTGCACCTCTCTGTGCAGCCACAGCACCCTTCGTCTCCTCCCCCACCTTGTCTCAACAGTCAGCAGCAGAGAGGATGACAGAACTCCTCCTACAGATCCTGCACCTCTCTGTGCAGCCACAGCACCCTTCGTCTCCTCCCCCACCTTGTCTCAACAGTCAGCAGCAGAGAGGATGACAGAACTCCTCCTACAGATCCTGCACCTCTCTGTGCAGCCACAGCACCCTTTGTCTCCTCCCCCACCTTGTCTCAGCATTCGGAAGCAGAGAGCATGGCAGAACTCCTACAGATCCTGTACCTCTGTGCAGCCACAGCACCCTTCGTCTCCTCTCCCACCTCGTCTCAGCAGTCGGCAGCAGAAGAGGACAGAATGCCTCCTACAGATCCTGCACCTCTGTGCACCCACAGCACCCTTTGTCCCCTGCCCCACCTCGTCTCAGCAGTCGGCAGCAGAGGAGGACAGAATGCCTCCTACAGATCCTGCACCTCTATGTGCAGCCACAGCACCCTTTGTCTCCTCCACCACCTCGTCTCAGCAGTCGGCAGTAGAGGAGGACAGAACTCCTCCTACAGATCCTGTACCTCTGTGCAGCCACAGCACCCTTTGTCTCCTCCCCCACCTCGTCTCAGCAGTTGGCAGCAGAGGAAGACAGAAATCCTTTTACAGAGCTTGCACCTCTATGTGCAGCCACAGCACCCTTTGTCTCCTCTCTCACCTTGTCTCAGTAGTCGGCAGCAGAGAGGGTGACAGAACTCCTACAGATTCTGTACCTCTCTGTGCAGCCACAGCACCCTTCATCTCCTCCCCCACCTCGTCTCAGCAGTCGGCAGCAGAGAGGGTGACAGAACTCCTACAGATTCTGTACCTCTCTGTGCAGCCACAGCACCCTTCGTCTCCTCCACCACCTTGTCTCAGCAGTCGGCAGCAGAGGAGTACAGAACTCCTCCTACAGATCCTGCACCTCTCTGTGCAGCCGCAGCACCCTCTCATCTCTGTCTCTCCTGGTCTCAACATTCAGCAGACTCCGTCGGCTAACTCCAACTCTGCTTCTTCTTGGCAGCAGCACAAAGTAAGGGGGGTGCACTGTAAAGTACTGGAGGGTGGAGGGGACACTTGGCTTCTGATGGTGGGGGAGGCTCTTGACACTTGATGTGATGGGGGTGGGGTGCTCTGGACATCCAGTCTTACAGATACAAATGGCCCTTCGAGGGCAACCATAATGCTAATGCAGTCCGCATGAAATTGAGTTTGACACCCTTTCTTAAGGGCGCGGGTAGCTGTGATGCAGAGCCACTTTCTATGGATGTACATGCGAGGGCTTGGGAGTGATGCCTAAATTGACCCGATTGGTACGAAGCTTTTGAGGATTACACCATGATGCCATTGGAAGGATGTGACACTTACTGTTTGGCTAGTAAGAAGCGAAGCGACCAAAATTAGAGCCCACCTCCCCAGTCGCCCTTTTACAGGATAAACCTTAACTGCTGACAACCAACCCATGTAGCCTTACTGCTGTAGGGCGCCGCTCTGTGCAGAATCACGTATATACACTCCCCGGCCACTTTATTAGGTACACCTGTTCAATTGTTTGGTAACACAAGTTGCTAATCAGCCAATCACATGGCAGCAACTCCATGCATTTAGGCATCTAGACGTGGTGAAGATGACTTGCTGAAGATCAAACTGAGCATCAGAATGGGGAAGAAAGGGGATTTAAGTGACTTTGAACGTGGCATGGTTGTTGGTGCCAGATGGGCTGGTCTGAGTATTTCAAAAACTGCTGATCTACTGGGATTTTGACACTCAACCATCTCTAGGGTTTACAAAGAATGGTCCGAAAAAGAGAAAATATTCAGTGAGCAGCAATTGTGTAGAGGAAAATGCCTTGTTGATGTCAGAGGAGAATGGGTAACTGGTTGCTGCGACATTCAGATGGTAGGGTCAGAATTTGGAGTAAATAACATGGCGTGGGGGAGATTTTCTTGCCACTAGCAAGGTGAACCCAATAATGTGGCCGATGAGTGTATATCCGGAATTCGGCACTTCTGGTTAGGGTGCGTGCGCCTGCCTGGATTCGCTGTGATTCGTCATAGCACATGCTGATCACCAAGTCCCGGCCAGCGACTGACCTCTGGCACCCACCGACCGGCTGTGTGTGTCACAGAACACGGCCCTGTAAGTGTACATCGCACAGATCTTTGTTCGGTGACAAGAGGATCTAGTTGGTTTTTCAACAGGGAATGAGAACAATTAGATCCACAATAAAAAGCGCAGCACGCAGTACACACACAAACACTTGGCGGGCTCATATTTAACTCTTTGATCGCCCTAGATGTTAACCCCTTCTTACCCAGTGTCATTAGTACAGTAACGGTGCATATTATTAGCACTGATCACTGTAACTGAAATAAATAAGAGGGTGGATTGAATTTCCCCCTACTTATAATCTTGTTGGTCCCTATAATCAGCTAGTACATCTAAGGCCCCCTGTACACAGGACACTTCTGAACGATTGAAACTGACTCCTGGAAAACGTAGGTTAAAAACCTCTGTTTAGCAGCGTTTGCATTTATGTGCGTTTGCATTTAGAAGTGTTTTTTTAAAGATAACCACAGGAGAACCTACCAAATGCCCAGAATGCACTGAAAAGTGGTAAATGGTTAACTATTTCAGACTGTTTCAGAGAAATACAGAGAGTAGAAGCAGAGACAGAAGTACGTGTTGAGATTAGCTTAGGTGCGAGTTGCTCATCAACATTTCTTTTGTTTCCAAGGGTGGGAAAGGTGCCTGGTGGTGGGAGTCATTAAGGTCACCTGGCAGGGGGTCAGCATGAGGAATTTGAGGTGTGAAATTGTGGTATTTGATCGCCTTTGCGTTTTTTATTTTTTGTGCTACAAAAAGACAGCGAAGTTTAAGAAAACAAAACAATATTTTGGACTTTTTGCTATTAACCACTTGCCCTCCAGAGAATTCCCCCCCTCACCAGGCCAATTTTTAGCTTTACAGTGCTGCGTTACTTTAACTGACAATTGCGCGGTTATGCAACACTGCACCCAAAGGAAATTTATGCCCTTTTTTTCCCCACGAATAGAGCTTTCTTTCAATGGTATTTGATCTATATTTTGTGCTATGAAAAAAAAAAGACTGAATTTTGAGGAAAAAAAAAACATTTTTAACTTTTTGCTATTAACCCCTTGCCCTCCAGAGGATCCCCCACCCCTCCTGACCAGGCCATTTTTTGCAATACGGCACTGCGTTACTTTAACTGACAATTGCACGGTCATGCAACGCTGCACCCAAATGAAATTTATGTCCTTTTGTTCCCCACAAATAGTGGTATTTGATCGCCTTTACGTTTTTTATTTTTTGTGCTACAAAAAGACAGCGAAGTTTAAGAAAACAAAACAATATTTTGGACTTTTTGCTATTAACCACTTGCCCTCCAGAGAATTCCCCCCCTCACCAGGCCAATTTTTAGCTTTACAGTGCTGCGTTACTTTAACTGACAATTGCGCGGTTATGCAACACTGCACCCAAAGGAAATTTATGCCCTTTTTTTTCCCCACGAATAGAGCTTTCTTTCAGTGGTATTTGATAGCCTGTGCATTTTTAAATTTCTTGTGCTACAAAAAAAAAAGACCATGAATTTTGAGAAAAAAAAAATATTTTTGACTTTTTGCTATTAAACATGTTCAGTAAAAAATTAAAAAAAATCTAATTTTGTCATAAATTTAGGCCAAAATGTATTCTGTGACATGTCTTTGCTAAAAAAATAAATCCCAATACATGTAAATTAATTGGTTTACGTGAAGGCTATAGCATTTGCAAATGGAATTTTTTTTCTAGTAACGTCTGCGATCAGCGACTTATAGTGGGACTGCGGTGGACATTCTGACACTGGGGGGGAACTGACTTGGTGTCACTGACATCCCCAGTGACACCAATACAGTGATCAGTGCTAATAAAAAGCACTGACACTGTACTAATGACACTGGGCAGGAAGAGGTTAACATGTGGAGTGATCAAAGAGTTAACTGTGTGTGTGCTGTACACTGTAAGCACGCTGCTTGGTATGGCTCTGCTATTATAGTTTACATGCAGGTCTCTCCCCTGTCCGTGATGCCGGGTAATGATGGGGAATCACCGGCCGGGAACCGGTGATCTACAGGTGAGGCCACCGATGGCGGTGTGGGTAGGCCAGGGCGAGCGCGCCCCCTGGCCAAAAATGCTAAATCACGTACATATCCGTGATTTTGCGCACCCCTGCCACCCTGTAGCAGTATTTCTGCTATAGGGTGGCAGGAAAGCGGTTAATAGCATTTTTTTCCTTTTCCTAGAAGCTAAATAGTGCTATTATTATTATTATACAGGATTTATACAGCGCCAACAGTTTGCGCAGCACTTTACAAAAATCCTATGCGCCCATGCACACTAGGCTATTGGCATTTTTTTTTTTTTTTTTAGCATCAGCTTCTAGGTGTTTTTTTCTTTTTTAGAGTGTTTTTTCCAGCAGAAAAAAAAAGAAGGAATGCTTCTACATGCTCCTACCTAGCCTTTTCTTTTTTTCTACATGTACTGTAAAAACACTAATGCTCCTAAACGCTACTAAAACACTACTAAAAAAAGCTATTGCTAACATTTTTTGAGCTTTAAAAAAAAAAACGCTAGTGTGCATGGAGCCTTTGAGAGAAGTCTAAATAAATATCATAGAGCATATGGAAATAAAAGAGCAGAGATGATACGTCACGTAAGTCAGTCCTCAGTGTCTTGTATTCTGGCTGCATAGGACCCAACTGTCCCTGATTTCGAGGGACTGTCCCTGCTTTGGAACAAAGTCCCTCTATCCCTCATTCCTCCTCATTTGTCCCTCATTCTGGTCGGATATCTATAGTTGTATACAGGGGCTGACTGACCATTTGGAAACTTGGGCACTGCCCGAGGGCCCGGGGTCAGCAGGGGGCCCCATGAGATGCCCCTGGTACCTTTTTCATAGGCTTTTTTGAGTTTGGGCAAGGACACAGGGGCCCCATGATCCCCTATTGCCTGGGGGGCCCCATGAGTTGTCAGTCCATCCCTGGTTGTATATAAAATGCTCTATTTATCTTTCAAAAAGTGTTGCTAAATGGTGCAAAACCTTTAATCCAGTTTCTAAATGGTTGTATTTGTAAATTTCAAAGCCAGTATAAAGGAATAGCAGTGGTATAAAAAAAAGCAGTTGTGGGTTTAATATATATATATATATATATATATATATTTTTTTTTTTTTTTTTTCTTTTCTATTCTTTTGCTTAATTCTCCTTTATGGGTGATGGTGGTGGTGTCCTATTCTATGCCTACATATTTTTGCTGATGGGTGTCCCTCGTTCCCATCTCAAAAAGTTGGAAGGTATGTAGCTGGGCTCAAGGAGAAAGAGGAAGAGGCCATGGCTGGCCCTTACATTCATACCACTCACAGGCAACACCCATTCATCATCCTCGGCCCGGCCAATATAGTCATCTGTTCAATGAGTTACCATCCGTAAATTATAGAGGGCTGTCATTTCCAATCACCAGGAAGTAATGCGCTACCCTGAATCCTCCATGAAGTATGTTGCTGTCTCCAGCAGGGGGCACTGCTATATTGCCATCAATCTTCTTGACCCAAGTCAGCATCACAGCCCACATTTGGCTGCCTTTTGATGTTAGAAGTCAGGAAATCAGTCATTTTGAATTTTCACATTGCCAGGACATGTCTTTACTGATGCTCCTCTATCCCCACATATCACATTGGAGGGGGGCTATGCAAGAACACCCTTCAGGAGATGAATTCCTATTCCCATGGGCAGCAAAGTGGCTAGATTTATTTATTTATTTCAGGTACTTGTATAGCTCCGTCAATTTACGCAGCACTTTACATATATATTGTACATTTACATCAGTCCCTAACCCTCAAGGGGTGTACAATCTAAGTCCCTAACTCACATTCATACATATATTAGGGCCAGTTTAGACAGGAGCCAATTCACCTACCAGCATGTCTTTGGAGTGTGGGAGGAAACCCACGCAGTCACAGGGAGAACATGCAAACTCCAGGCAGGTGGTGCCGTGGTCGGAATAGTTAGCACTTCCACCTGGCAGTACTAGGGTCGTTGGTTCAAGTCCCAAGCACGGCACCACCTGCCTGGAGTTTGCATGTTCTCCCTGTGCCTGCGTGGGTTTCCTCCCACACTCCAAAGACATGCTGGTAGGTGAATTGGCTCCTGTCTAAATTGTCCCAAATATGTGTATGTATGAATGTGAGTTAGGGATCTTAGATTGTACGCCCCTTGAGGGTTAGGGACTGATGTGAATGTACAATATATATGTAAAGCGCTGCGTAAATTGACAGCGCTATATAAGTACCTGAAATAAATTTGTGACCCCTTGCTACAAACACCCTGCTGTGTCAACTGATTGGCTTGGTGTTCCAAGATGCAGGCCAGATGGTCCTTTCCTAACCAGACAGTAAAAAACCATAAAATATCTGAAGAATAGTGATGGGTTGAACACCCCCATGTTTGGTCTGGCGGTTGAACATTTGAATGAAAGTTCAACTGCGAACTTCGAATTCGAGCCACCCTGCCACAGTAAAAGTACTGTGGGTGGGCGGTAAGCAGTTAATGAAAGCCAAAGTCCTATCCAAGTTGCACCCCATCAAAGTTGCATTGTGCAACTTTGGAGTCATACAAGTGTGAACGGAGCCTTAGCCGCTTCAATTGCTTGTACAAGAGAGCTGCCTGCCGCCTCTAAAAATCAGGACCAGGGAGATGCCTGCAGCCGCCGGTGTCACTTTTTGGTATATTATTATTATACAGGATTTATATATTATTATTATTATACAGGATTTATATTATTATTATTATACAGGATTTATATATTATTATTATTATTATTATTATACAGGATTTATATATTATTATTATTATTATACAAGGTTTATATTATTATTATTATACAGGATTTATATATTATTATTATTATTATTATACAGGGTTTATATTATTATTATTATTATACAGGATTTATATTATTATTATTATAAAGGATTTATATATTATTATTATTATTATACAGGGTTTATATTATTATTATTATTATTATTATACAGGATTTATATTATTATTATTATACAGGATTTATATATTATTATTATTATTATTATACAGGGTTTATATTATTATTATTATTATACAGGATTTATATTATTATTATTATACAGGATTTATATTATTATTATTATATTATACAGGGTTTATATTATTATTATTATTATTATTATACAGGATTTATATTATTATTATTATTATTATTATTATACAGGATTTATATTATTATTATTATACAGGATTTATATATTATTATTATTATTATACAGGGTTTATATTATTATTATTATTATTATTATACAGGATTTAGATTATTATTATTATTATTATACAGGATTTATATATTATTATTATTATACAGGATTTATATATTATTATTATTATACAGGATTTATATCGCGCCAACAGTTTGCTCAGCACTTTACAATATATCGGGAGACAGTACAGCAACAATACAGTTCAATACAAGAGGGATAGGAGGGCCTGATCCTGGGAGCTTACAATCTAACCAATGAAAGTCCAGCGACGTACGGGTGTGTGTTGCTGGCCCAGAAGTGGCTAAGGGTGTTTATTTATTTAAAAAAGTTTATCCAGATACAAAACAACACAGGGCTCTGTACAGAGCGATCACTTTGTTTCTTTTTCCTGCAAAGCAGGGAAAAGCAACAAATCGATCTGTAGTAAACAGCAGCGCACGTTACACACATTAAGGCTTGGTTCACACCTATGTAGTTTGCATTCAATCTGTTTTTGCAGTGCGCTTTGGGTTTTTGCCACGTTTGTGATGTGGTTTGTGAGGGTTTTTTCTTGCTAGGCAGATTAGAAACGCATCAAAAACATGGCGTTGCCATTGAAGTCTATAGAACCAAAAATGCAACTTTTTGTGTTCAAAAAAAGTCCCCGACCCTTTCTACAAAAACGCACCGGGTGAAAACGCGGAGAACGTGTGAACGTGTCCCATAGGAAATCCTGTTAAATGGACTGTAGTGCGTTTCTGCAAAACGCTGCGGAAAACGCTTAGATGTGAACCTAGACTGACACTAGGCACACATTTAACCCCTTGATTACCCCAAGATGTTAACCCCTTTCCAGCCAGTATCATTAGTACAGTGACAGTGTATAGTATTACCACTGATCACCATGTTGGTGTCACTGGTGATGTCAGTGGCAGTTAGCCGGATCCCATAGGACCAGGGACGGAATGACCATTTGGAAACTCTGGCACTGCCCGAGTGCCTGGGGTCAGTAGGGGCCCCATGAGATGCTCCTGGTACCTTTATCATAGGCTTTTTTGAGAGTGGGCAAGGACACAGGGGCCCCATGATCCCCTACTGCCCGGGGGGCCCCATGAGTTGTCAGTCCGCCCTTGCATAGGACATAAGGAATAGTGATGTCCCCGAGGTGATTCTTCAATCGGGAGCAGGGGCCAGAATCTCGGGCAAGGGAAGCAGACAGAGAAGCCTTCTGGCTTCCTACCGCGCATGGGTGAGCAGCACCGCGCTTTGTGACTGGTCCCGCAGTCTTCTGGGACCTGTGTGTGTCCCAAAAGGCTGGGGGGCAGGTGAAGGAAGGGCCAAAAGATCATTGCAGTGATAGGGGGTTGCCTCTTCATCCCTTTAGGCTACATTCACACTTGTGCAACTTCAAAATCGTGCGATTCTGATTGTGACTTTACAGTGCAACTTGATGCAACTTAAATGCGACTTTGGCTTTGACCAAGGATAATTGTTTCTGCTGTGCAAAGTCGCACACAAGTTGCATGTACAACATTCAAGTGCGACTTTCATGCGACTTTGGAGGGTTTACTTTTGAAGTCTATGGCCCTC